TGATGATAGCCAGAACATTATTCATAAGGCATCTTTCCAAGGCAAATAGAAGCTTTTTTCCCCTTCTGTCAAAAATGCTCCAAACAGCTTAGCAATCTCTTGATCCTTCAGAAACTTCTGAAAACACCTTCAGCCTCTCCTTAAACACCTTCAACATGCTCCCTGTGCATCCTTGGGGCTGTCTGCTGGATTTCCTCCAATCTGTTGACTTCTCTCCTGTGCTAGGATGCCCTAAACTGACCATAGCACACAAGATGTGCCAGTGATGGGAAATATTCTCTTCCCTCACCCCTTGACCTCCTGGCCACCTTTGGGCTAATACAGCCCAGTCTGTGGCTGTCCTGCCTCAGCACAACTGTGAATTTGGGTTCAACTCTCTGCACCATGATCCCCACCATCTTCTCAAAGCAAAGCTGCTCTCCAGTCAATCAGTGCCCAGCCTGGACTATTGCCAGGGTCAAGGCTTTGCATTTCTTAATGCCAGACTGCACAAGAATCCTGTCAATCCATTATTCTAGCTTTTCAAGGCCCAGCAGGATGCCAGCCCTGCCTTCATTGTATCAACTTTTCCTACAATTTATTGTTGCTAACTGCAGGCTTGAAGGTTAGGGAAAATAAACTAATTTGGGAGTAGTGATGGATTCTTCCTCAAATGCCTGCCACATTCATGAAGGGTCTTGTTTCCACTCTCCAAATTATTGTTTATTGTGATCTGGTTCTATGTGTTCATCACACATAATAAAATACAATATTTAAAAATTAATTTGGTTTCTGACAGTAAAGACCTCATTCTTTAGCCTCATCTTTTTATATTCATGTTTTTCTCTGTGTGATTTTAGATGTTTTCCTCATAATCCATGACTATACAATACACTTAAATGGACTTGAATCTTCTCCCCAAGGCACAGCCTAAAGACAACATGAAATGAGTAAATGCAGTTCTAATCTGGTTGATTACAATGGTCATTCCATATTATTTTTAAAGACTGCAAGTCCTGTTTTCAGAAAGGAGCCTTTCTCCCTGTGTCAAAATATCCTCTGCTTTCAGTGCATCAAGGAGACCTCAATATTGGTGCCATTTTTCCCACTGGAATCTGAGATCTGTTGAAGAGCTGGCTGCAAGTAACTAGAACATCAGTACTCTCTCTACAGAAATCATGCAGGTTCGTGAGTTTTTCTGGTTCAAGGCTGTCTCCTTCTTTGCCTTGAAATTATAATTTCCAGTAGATACTCTAAACAGCAGCAAATCTGAGTCCAAAGCAAACTTTTTGTGTTTAAGGCTGCAGCCACCTTGTTAATTCTTCGTCAGGAACCACACTGTAAGGTATTTGTTATGATGGTTTTTAACATATGGAAGATCAAGATCAGATTCCTAAAATATTCTGAAAACCAGTTATAGCTTTAACAGTGACCATGGTTAAATATAAAGCCTAAGTAATTTGTTCTATTAAAAAGTCCAAGTCTTATTTTTATCAAGTGATGTTATGAGGGCATGTTCTAAATCAGCCAAAAGCTCTTGTAGCTACAAGAGCTTCACTTTTGCAATTTTTAACAGCCCAGTTAAGTTGGTGCATATCCTTGTGCATGGTGTTAGTACAGAATTCCTCCTCTGACACTGACCAGATCAGGCAGACTTTAGAAGATGAAACATTTGAAGAACACAGGCAAAGAAAATGCAAGAGCTGAACGACAACATTGAGTTTATTTTTCCCCTGCAAAGATGAGTCTCATTTAGACAGGGTCAGGTTGTGATGGGTGCACAGGACTAGGAAATAAACCCATGCATTTCATGCATTTCATGTAACGTTTCTCCTGACATCCCTCTCTGTGCTGTCCTGCACTTCTCCCTGTGCATGGGCCCAGTTTAGGATGACGCCGTTGCTGCTGCTGTGCAGCTATTCCAAGCATCCTTTCAGCAGAATGCGTATTCCACGCAGGATTAGAGAATGGTTTGTCTGATGCCCACTGGACAGGCGGTGTTGAGCAGGGTCAAGGCAAGCATGCAGCAGAGCTCTGAAATTTCCTTTTTGATCAAGCAAGGAGTGAGCATATGTTGGCAGATGGAATGTGTGCTCAGCTTACTTTAGTGGAGTTTCAGCACTGACCTTTTGCTGCATTCCTCCAGCAGCAGTAAAATGGTTCTGCTTAAGTAAACGGACATAGACCACGTGCAAACCCAGCTGTCTTCTCCAGCCCACCATTGCTCCTACTGTTACAAGAAGGCTGGATGCATGGGAATGTTGTAATTTAATGTGTAATAACCTCTCATGGAATTAATGTTATGAAAGTTAATGGTGCTCATGACACAATAATCTCCACCTCGAGGAGTCAGTTTAAGGACTAGCCACAGAAGTCCATGTTAATAGGTTCTGGGTTGTTGTACTTTATATTAAAGTCTTCCTGACACAAACAGGAAGTTAAAGGCTCTTACACCACTCCAGCTTGGCCCATCCTTATCTCTCTTTGACTGCTTTATGTTTTCCATCCTTTGTTTCTCTAAGTGTCTGGCAGGTCTGGCTCTGTATGACTCTGCAATAAAAATGAAGATGGATTAAGCAGAAGTAGGTGATCCACAAGGCCAGTTATTAGTGGGCACAATGTTTCTCTAAAGAGCTACTTGTGGCAGCATCATGAGTAAAAAGAAGAAATTACAAAAAAGACATGGCTGTGCCATGTCTTGTACAGAGCCTGCCCTTCCAAATTCTTGATGCCTTTTTCATGGAATCATAAAATCATTTGGGCTAGAGGTAACCTTTAAAGGCCACGTAGCCCAACCCCTCTGCAATGAGCAGGGAGAGCTTCAACAGATCAGGTTGCTTAGAGCCCTGCCCAGCCTGACCTTGGCTGTTTCCAGAGATGGGGCATCCTCCACCTCACTGGCCAATCTGTGCCTCTCTGGGCAACCTCTGATCGCCCTGGTGTCCCACCTCTACACTGGCTCCAGCAGCTCCATGTCCTCCTGTGCTGGGCCCCCAGAGCTGGGCCACTACTCAAGCTTGTCCAGGTCCCTCTGGATGGCACCCTGTCCTTTAGGTGTGTCACTGCACCCTCAGCTTGGTGTCATCTGCAAACTTGCTCAGTGCACAAACAATGCCACTGTCCATGTCATAGATTAAGACATCAAAAATGACTTCGTCCCATTACAGGCCCCTGGGGGACACCTCAGCCATCATAAGGTGCTGACTCACCTGCTGGGTCTCACACCCAGGCAAAGGGGCTGACTGTCCTCATCCATAAATTCCTACATGCTGTAAAATAATAATGAGGAGAAGGAAAACTAGAAAATATTGTTGTTCTCTTGCAGCAAAAGATTTCCCACTGTAAGCAAAAGTAAGATATAAATGTAGTGTGTGCCATATTGCATGTAGCAACATCAGTTTGCATTACTTGCTCATAATTTATGGATTACTTGAAATATGAACCACTTCCAATGGGCAGCGAGAAGTGCCCAAAATGGCTAAAAACATATCCAAGATAACAACTGGTGGTCAGGCACTGGTTTCCAAACAACTATTCAACAGAAGTACTCACATCCTCTTGTGTAGCTGATCAAGCTTGGGGCTATGCTCCTGCCAATGACCTGCTGCAATTTCCATCTTTGATTGGTGAGCAGGGAGGGAGATTCACTTCTCAAAAAGGGAGGCTTGGCTGGCCTGTGCTGGTAGGATTTCCGCTGTGGGAATAGGCACAGAGCATTCTGATAACTTGGGTGCTGCACACACGAGGAGGGGCAGAAGGAAGCAGCCCCTGTTTGTGGGGTCAGGCTATTTCTGCTGGGATTTAAAACTGCTCTTTGGAACAGAGTTGAAACAGTCACTATAAATGACTTGCCTGAGAGAGTACAGAGCATTTTGGAGGATTATAATTTATGCCAGGCAGGAGCTGTTATGGCTCAGTTTAAGGAGCTTAAAATAAGACTTTTGGGAGACAACCAAACCAGCTTCAACTCTGGTAACTTCCCAGTTCAAGATACTCCTAAATTGATATGTACAGGGTCTGTTCCTGCCTGGGGCCAAGGGCCTTGAACTCCTGTTGAATCCACTGGATCTCAGAGATGCTCTGATGATATTTGGCACTGTTAGGAGTGAGCCAATACCTGATAGCACCTTGAAGCATACAATTCTCTTTACACTTCATTTTAACCTAAATTAACTTAAGGATTAAGTTAAATTGATTTATCCCCCCAAGGCTTTGTTTTACATGGAAGGTACCTCTTGGAGGAAGGTAGAGTTTTTCTCCATGGGATCCTCCTTTCTGCAGATTTAAAATCAATCACCTTATTAAGCCAACTGGAAATGAAGCACAGAATCTGTCTGGACTCAGATGGTCATCCACATGCTTCCTAAAGGTGGAACAGAGGGAGAGAGAAATCAATCCATTTCTGCTGACCAAACAGAAAGGCAGACATTAAGTCCTGTCTTGCCATCTTCCAGGTACTTAAGAGTACTTTATACAACAAAGGCATAGCTGTATCCTCCTGTTTTCTTGGAAATGACACAGTGGCTATCACTCCATTCTCAGAGAAATATATGTACACTATGAGACTGATTCCTAAGTTTCCAGATATACTGCTTCTCTAATATTCCCTATTTTCCTTTATTACTTTTATCCCTGTTAGTTAAGTTGAAACTCTTACTGGAACATGCAGCCCAAACCCACCTCCTCTTTAGTCTTTGCATCCTTTAAATATTTACCGATGGTTTTCATATTCCCCTTCAGTTGCCATTTAGCCAGTGTTGCTCTGTGTGTATCTCTTCAAACTTAGCACCCTTGGAAGGGCACACAAGGCCAAATTCTGCTCTCAGTTATATCTCTCTAATTTTGGAGTAACTCAGCAAAATTGATAGACATTGAATTAACACAAGCAACACACAGAGCAGAAGGCGAAAGCCAAAATATAAAGCAGGATGTCAATCAAAACTAACATCACATCCCTGTGGGCCACAGACTGCACAAAGTTGATGCCTTTTCTATCATGGTATTTTTTGCTGCATTCCCAGTGATTAGAGTGAAGATTTAGAAGAAGTTGTGAACTGCAACAGCCATCAGGAAGATGACAGTACCTAACCATGGCTCCTCTGAGAAGTGAGATACAGCACATCATTACTGTGTTGGTCCATGCAGTGTGCTTGCATGATTTAACACTGATTTTAAGAGGTTTTCTATGTTACATAGAATATTTGATACTTCATATTTCTGTGTGTGTTACAAACATGACACAATAACCTTGTTTTGTTCAGTGACTGTTTTTTTCCCTGTGTGTATTGATAATTACTCCAGCAGAGAACATTTCTTCACCTTTTCTCAGCCCTTCACAGATCTGGTTGAAAATACTTGTATGTTCTGAAAGCAGAGAAACTGACCAATGAGACCAGAACTGAGCATCACAAACTCAAGTCCACAGTGCATTTCACAATTAAAAAAATATGTCATGTGCAAAGTGCGTGTCCAGTGGAAGGGCTTGCTCAAGCTGTCTCATCTTCTGCAAGCTGCACTTGGCAGAGCTTGCAACACTGACTTCACATCCTAAGTTGACTCATTTCCATAGCTTTTCTCTTTTGAAGCCTTTATTATAAAGGGCAAATGTTGTTTTTTTCTCCCTTTGCAGGTTATTCTGACAGAAGTGGGAAAGGAAATAAAGAACTAGGAACTGCCATTCTTTACCCAGAATCTGACCTAACCTCCAAGGAATAATCTTCAAAAGAACTTGTTTCTAAATGTTGGGGTAAGATTACACCTTAGTGTTTAAATGCTATTACATCATAAAATCAAGCTCTTCAACTTACACAACCTGAAATAAAACTGTTTGTCCTTATACATAATAATAACAACATATTTTTCTAATTCTGTGGTCCCATAGGACAACAGTCTTGTGGTTGCTACTGACTTCTATCACATCCAGTATATAGTATGAAGTAATAAATTTATTTTTATGCAGCACTGATGGTCTGTCCTGAGAGCTCCATGAGGCAAAGATATAAGAAGAGGACACGCATCTCTTTACTCAGCTGACCTGGTGTGAATACCAGGGAATAGCTCTGTATTTTTGGGTATAGCACTGGCAAAAAAAAAAAAAAAAAAAAATATTAAAAAAAAAAAAAAAAAAAAAAAAAAAAAAAAAAATTAAAAAATCAAACCAATAAACAAGGCATGAAAGACTAATGCTCAAAATACTACACAAGTATAAATTAATCTTTCCTCTAATGAGGGGGAAATGAGGTACAGATGCAATAAACTGATCAACTTTTAAACGCACAGAAATACCAGAACTGGGTTAGAACATGCAATCTCGATCATCTCAGATGGAACTGGTTGTTCTTTAAAGCCCCTTCCAACCCTAACCATCTCAATCATCTCAGATGGAACTGTTTGTTCTTTAAAGCCCCTTCCAACCCTAACCATTCCATCCTTACATTATAGCCCCTCTTCATAATCACCTTCTATGGCTTCATTCACCTCTCATACAACAGGAAAAGTTATCAAATAATGCTTTCATCATTAAGATTTTGCTGTCCAGAGTGAACTATCGCAGAAGAAAGGACCTAGAGCATGACTCCCACCTGTCTGGCAGTGCCACCTTCCAACAGTGACATTTCTGGCATTACAGAAGGGTAAAAGCACCTGGCCAGGGCAAGGTCTATACATGTGTTTAACTGCCTGCATTCTTCTCCTCCTGTTTGTCACCAGTTCCACTGAAGAAAACAGACACGGGTCACAGAGCCAGTGACCAGTGGCAAAGGGCACTATGTTATATTCTTGACAAATACAGACTCTTGGCATTTTTTTTTCCTTGCAATAACCTCAGTTCAGACTCTGTAAAGGGCACCTGCAGTTTACAGTGGTCACCATGAGCAAGTTAAAGAAGCTAAACAATGGCATTTGCTCCTCACCTCTCCCTGTGGCAAGAATTTTTTATTCTATTCAAGCCACACATATAATTTTACACGACATTTTGAAGGCATTAAATATTGTCACCCTTCCAAGAAATCTGCACTGTATATACAAATAGAAAACCTCATGCCCATTAAGTCATTTTCCTCTTAATCTTAAATAGCTTATCATGACTGAAACAGAATTTCTAAAGTGGCTTTACACTATAAACTGTAGCCTGTATTCTACAGCCAGGCACAGACCAAACAGAAAGTACAGTTTAGGTCAGCCCATCTCTATATTCTGCTTTTCTCCAAAGACAGCTAAAATTCTGCTGCTAGCACTACTTCCTTGAGAACAGGTATGAAAAATGGGAGTATTAAATGCTCTGTCATGGATCTGCCAGACAAAGATGATCTTTGGCAGGCTTATTCAGCATTTACAAGGGTCACACTTCAGCAAGCAGAATTAATAGTTTTTCCATACCATTCCTTCCCCTTAGGCTTTCCAAAATTTCATCTTGTTGGTTCATTTCAGTATCAAAGACTAACAGGATCTTCTGCTAACAAGTTTGGATGCAATCTGCTGAGGACTGAAGACAAACATTTCAAAAATAAAAGGCAAAAAGCTGAGTTATTTTCCTATAAATCAGAGGCAGTCTCACCCAAGTGCTACTAAATTAAATGGAGTCTTCATGCTTTGGTAAAAATACTAGGCATAATTTTTATTACCAAAGAATCTAGAAGTATAAGCAAGATACTTGCTCAAGAATTGTTGGTAGATTTATTGACTGAAGGAAAATATAAAACAAATATAAGTTTTACAAACAGATAAACATCACAACTTCTAAAAAGGAATAGCTCTGCCACTACCTTTCCCAGACAGAATAGTGTTAGAGCACTTGCTTTTCTGGGACCAGAGTTTGATTTCAGTTTAAGGCCAGCAATGTAAAATGAGCTGTAACAGGATTAATCCCGCTCCTTCTAGAGGAATTTACATCCTTCTTTTCTAGAACACCAAATTAGGTCACATTACTTGCATGATTCTTCTTTAGAAGCTGCTGGCAGAGGAAAAGAAAGTATTTGACAGTTCAGCAAGAGATGTGTGCTGGGTCACTTACACAGCTTTCTGCAACATGCAAGACTTGATAAAAATACTAAGCTGAGTCTGTTAATTACACAGTGACTTTACAATCATCATGAAATAGTGAATATTCCTTTGGTTCTCTGAAAATTTTAAATTATGCAGCTTCCCCAAAACAGAGCTTTTCATTCTTCACCTTTATTAGGCTAAACAACACTTTAAAAAATCACTATCAAGAGAGAAAATAATTTGGTTCCAGGTTCTCCAGTTTCCAGTGCAGAATTTCAGCAGTACAGGGGAAGGGGTTTCTGATTCAAAGCTAGGTCTGCCAGGATCCCCACACAGAAGAACTGTGGATTTGGATATCCCACCACCTAGAACCCTCATCCCTCCACAGCTGCTTTGCTGTCAGCCCAGTGGTTCCAGCAATCCCAAGAATCCCAGTTCCTGACAGGATTTTCCCTGTGTCCATGGAAGACCTGCTTCCAGCTTCTAGGGCCACAGATGAGTTCCAAGATTGGCCATGATGGGGGGGAAAGCAGTTCCCACTGTTCCCCTTATTCCCCATCCCTGGGATGCAGGGGTGGTCTGGTGGGGTCTTTTTGACTGGATTCAAGTTTGTCCCAAGAAACTTCATAGCTGCATCTCAAGCTGTCTCCCTGGGACTTTTGATTAGTCATAAAACATTAATAATTAATAAGCAGCAAATATAACAGGGTCTAGAACACTTTAGTGTTCCTATAAAGTTGCTCATATGGTAAACTTCTCAATATCTGGAAGTCAGGAAATAAAGCAAAAAGCAAACATAGTAAAAACAAATCTACTTTAAAAAATCTAATTATTGTCACAAGTGTATATTCATTTTTTTAAAAACACTTCCATGATCTACAAAATACAACAGTGTGTTTGATTCAAGTCTTTCATTTTGCAGCAGTAAAATAAGGAAGTAGTACATTTTATTCTGTGGTCACCATGACAAATTTCATTGGTTATTCTACGAAAACACCTGACACATGCTCGATGTTCTTCTAAAAGTCACTAAGAAAATTCAGAATATGTTTGTAGAAGCCAGAAGACCCCATTACGAGCATGACCACTTATTGCTACTACCTGTGTATGAGAATTATCTATCTATTTCTGTGGATTTGTTACAAGTTATAATGAATGTCTTTCAGATAAAGGTGAGGAATTCATCATCAATCCTGTGCTGAAACAAAGCAAGAGGCCAAAATCAGCTGCAACCAGCCAAGTACAGACAACATTTATCTTTTATTACAACATAATTCTTGAAATTGCAACAAATGCCGCTTTGGGGTCATCAGTCCACAGGAAAGAGACATCCTAGTCCAGAATCTCCTTAATCTCATTCTGTGCTATTAGGATACAGGTTAGTGCCCCACAGAAATCAGTGCTTGGAGGTCAGAGTCAGTGTGGACGATACTCTGAAGATCTGTGGCAGCATGTTACTCAGCTGGTAAAACATTTCCTCAGAAATTGTCTGGAAAAAAAAAAAGCAACACACACCAGGTAAGCTTTGTCTTTTCGTAGTTTGGAAGAATTAAGTCTCTCTCAGCTTTGTTTCTTGGTATTTAAGAGAATTGCTGCTGTTGAGAAGACAAAAATAATTTTCAAACTGTGTGTTATAGTTCTATTGAATCCAGTTAACAGACTGACCTAAAAATACCATCTGTATATTTATGTGACATACCCACATAACCATTTCCTGTAGATCTTGTTCCAGGGATTGATTATTTCTGCCAAACAAAAGCAGGACAGTGCTGCTTATCTACGTGACTCTTGCTCTCTACATTTTAGGACTAGATTCAACTTTGCAGTTTAATTGTGCCTTCTTCCTTGCTTAGCAGCTTTCTAATTTGTCAGGAAATACATGTTATTCCTTTTCTAACATAATTATACTTGTACTGCTTTTTAGAACAAACCTTGTGCTGGCCATCTTTGGATATCTTCCTGTTTCTGAAGATCAGCAAGAACTCAAAATTAAATAATTTCAGACTCTAAATCAGAACTTAAAATACCTGAAGTAATTATTTTTTTTGGGAAAGCATGACTGAACTTTTCTGCATTGAGTTTTCCACATTGCTAGACAATATGACTAATAACTCATGTTATGTAACACAAGTAATGAACAGAAAAATGTAATTAAGTAATTAACAGAAAAAAGTACCTTTTTCAAAGGTGATGCATTCACTATTTGTAAACGTGAATTTTCCAGTTAGAAATTTTAGCATACTCTCAGAAAATACTACTGGGTATTCAAAAATATAAACCCACCCTTACTCCTTCTTTTATAGGCAAGGAAACAAAACCAGATTGATTAATTTAAATTCACTCAAAAGGGGCAGGCAATAGCAAAAAAAACCATAACTAGATCTGCTGACATGCAATGTTCTACCAGCAGTCTCCAAGGCTGGATGTGACTTTAGTTTCACCTACCTGTGGTACCAGGAATTGCACAGTCCGAGAAATTCCTCCATCCCACGAGGCCATTTCCATCATGAAACCTAAAAAACCAGCATTGACTCTGTCTGGATTACCCATGCAGTACTCCCCAGCAGTTAGAGCATGAGCAGGCAGTGAGGAGTTTTCACACACAAGTAGGATTTGAACTGCCTTAACTAGGGATGTCCTCAACAGCCTTTAAATCAGACTTGGGCAGTCTGAATGAAATGTAGAAAAAAATCTAATAATGAGCTCTGAGGAATACCTACACTGAGGACAGAATTAGCAGTCCTTCTGTGCAGAAGAATGATATACGGCAGAAGTGAGGATTTCTCCAAACAGTGTGACAGGAGTTTTTCCATGGCTTCCTTTCACTGAGAAACAGGGGTGACCTCACTGTGGCCTCACAGAGCCTGAAGGGAGCCCACAGGAAAGATCCCAAACAATTCTATGATTCTAGATTCTATAAGGAAAAAACTCAGCACTCATTTATTGCTCAAGTAATGAATTACCAAAGGCCATGGGAATCCTCTCATGGCAAATAAGGACACTCAGAAAAACACCTGTTTAATAGAAGTAGATGATATAGATAACATACCCATTGTGAACTACTAAAGGTCAATTACTATAGGAAGACGTTCCTCATGCAGGTAGTTGAAAGAGACTGGTTCAACTATTTAAGTGCAGCACAAAAAAATGCAGAAAGTAAAAAAAACACTTGGAAAGAAAAAACCATGCTGAGTCATGAGGACTATTTCTTCCTAATATACAACCTAAACCTGCTGTCACTGTGAAGCCATTCCCCCTTGTCCCGTCACTCCAGAACCTTGCCAAGAGTCTCTCTCCATCTTTCCTGTGGGTTCCTGCCATGGTTTGATGCTGGCGCAATGCCAGCTCCCCCATGAAAATGCACCTTTCCAAATAAATGCTGCGAGGTGCGATCCAGAACAGAGCACAGCAGGCCCAAGCTTCATAACAAAGGGAAACAACTTTATTAAACTACTACTACTATGAGAGACACACACACTAAATCCAGAATGAAAACCTTCCAAAACATTCCTCCTCCCCCCACTCAAACTCCAACAAACCACAATGAGACACAACTCGGACCTTCAATCAGGTTATCACCCTTCAATATAATCAATACTCAGTCCATCAAGGGCTCTCAAAGGCCACACTGAGGTCACCCCAAAACCTTCTCTTGTCTAGGCTGAGCAATCCCAATTCCCTCAGCCTTTCCTCCCAGCAGAGCTGCTCCAGCCCTTTAATAAGTTCATGTCCCTGCTCTGAACTGGCTCCCCAGAACCCACTGGAGCCCCACTTTCTTACCTTTGACACACTTGAACACGAGCTCTGCCCTCTTCAGGCACCATGGAATGGTCATCTCCTAAATGAAGAAATAAAATACCTCAGTGCCCCACAAATCTAACCAACAAGAATAGCAGGGAAATTATTAAAAGAGATATATTTTTTTGCCCTAGAACATAATTTTCAAGCAGGATTTGGAACCTAGTTTTCAGAACATTCTAGGCAAGGTGACCATAAAAGCACCACTACTCCTTATTGCTAGGATAGCCAGTGTCAGAACAATATTATACATTTTTAAGCTGAGATGTTGAATAAAAATGCTGTCAAACCCACTGGAAACTGGACTGTTCAACCCCCCTGTGGAGCTCCAGAAAAAATCTAATATTCAACTGATAATTGTCTGGTTCACACTTCAGCAAATCAAAGCAGGCTCCTGACCACATATTAAAAGCCCAATAATAACTCCTAACTGTTCTAGATTTTCTTTAAGGTTTCTTGGCATACCCACAACCTTCAGTAAAACCTTCTCTCTAACACTGGAACTGGAAGAAGCCCTTCCTTCTTAAGATGCATTTATGGCAAGAGCAAGAACAAAGTTCATCTGCATCTGATGAAGGTGTTTCAGATAGCAACAGCCAGGAAATCCTTACCTAAAGTTAAACAGCAAAACATGACATGAAAACCACAGTGATTTAAGATATGGCTACAAGCACTGGGCTAAATTATTTAAGTTTAAAGTTCATGAAACATTTTTGGCTGTATGCTACAAAGCCAATTACACCATGATGATGTAATTCCATCAGAGACAGAATGACTCACTGCAAACACTTCCCAGGAAGAACAAAACAACATCTTTTTGTTTCTGCTGTACTCTTAAACATGAAGATGAGCACTTTCTACTCTGAATACAGGAATATAGATGTGGAAACCCATTTATCACTCTAAGTACCTTTTCAAACTTAAATTTTACATAGCTTTCTATTCACTAAAGCCAGTCTCTGTTTTTAAATGTCAAATACACATGTAATCTGTTCTTATTATAAAGCTTAATTTCAGGATTAAAGACAGTTATTTGAGAGGCAAGGTGATCTAAGAATGCTCATTGATAACACAACTGATAAACTGAATGTGTGGCTTCATTAAGCAACTACTGAAAGGCATAGTTCCTCCTCAGGTGGGAGGCTCTCCTGCCATCCCCTAAAATATGCTGTATGTTAAAAATAGCATAAGTTTGAAATATCTTTTAATAAAGCTTTCCTGTGGTAAATCGCTGCTTTTAGGGTATGCATCACACTAATCAGATAGAACAGTGCTGGACAAGTTCAGGTTCGTAATTTTGTTGTGGCTGATTTCTGACTTTTTTAATTTGTAAGCATTCTGGAGGCAACACTTGGTGTTTATTTTAACTCATCTGTCCATGTGTACTTTCTGTCACAAGTAAGGTTTATTGTTGGTTTTGATCACTGCTTTAGCGTAGTAAAAAACAAGTGACTAACAAGAACATTCTCTCTTAGAAGCACCTTGAGCAATCAGTGATGGGAACTGAGCCTTAAAAAGACTGATCAACACAGCAGGATATGACACCATTCCTTGGACTATCTTAGAGGAACAGAGAGATTAAATTTTGTGGGCACTCAGGGAACTAACAGATTGTTGTTCCATGCAAGCCACAAGAACTGAAAATTACATAGCAGTGACTCAATTCTAATCCATCTTCACACACCAAAGTTTGCATGAATTCACATCACCAGGAGTTTTCTCTGGTGTGGAAGTGATGGAGGATCAGCTAAGCACCAATTCAAAATTCAGAGAAGGACATAAAGTGTCCTGGGTTGTAAGATAAGCTTGTATTCCATTTGCCATCTGTTGAAGGCAAAACCGGTTGGACAGGTTTTTGTTATCTCTCTCAGAGACAATGGTTTGCCCTGTAGAGGCAATGGTTTGTTTATACACCATTGACTGATTCAATGAAGGGCTGGTAAATGTAACACCGTGAGGGGTCCCACCCAGAGGGGGGAAGCCAGGCACTCTATTGTTGTTTAAAGGGGTAGCTTTTTGGGGAGAGGAGGCAGCTCTCTGGGCGGGACTCCGAGAGAAGCAGCTCTCGCTCTCTCTTCGCGGGATTCCCGGGGAAGCAGCTCTCTCTCTCTCTCTCTTCGGCGGCACTCGCAGTGAAGCAGCTGGCGCGCGCTGAGCCGACGGCGGCGGAGCTCAGAGGCAACCCCGGCGCAGAGGAAGACCGGCCCCACTGCCACCAGATCTTCAGAGGAAAACTATACCCTTCTAAAGATCACCACTTCAGCTGCAACTCATCAACTATTGCAAGGGAAGCAATTGTCCCAGCAGAACTGATACTGGCATCCCTCAGGTTCTGGACTTTTTCTTTCACTGGTTTTATTTGTACCGATTGCATTTGCCTTTTTTTAAATTGTTGTCTAGTTTTCTCCTAGTAAAGAATTGTTACTCCCACTCCCATATCTTTGCCTGAGAGCCTTTTAATTTAAAGATCCTGGTAATTCAGAGGGAGGGGGGTTTGCCGTTCTCCATTGCACAGGAGGCTTTGCCCTCTTTCACAGACTCCTGTCTTGTCGAACCAAGACATAAAGCAAAAAAGTGAACACCCAACCTCCTAGAAAGAGTTTTGGATAAGAGCATTCAAGAATGTTAAAAAAACCCACCTGGAACTTTGGGTGTTTTTCACTAGCAAAGGCACTTGAACCCTTTTTAATTTTTGTCAAATTAAGATTTCTTCAACTCATTTAGAAAACAAAGATGGGGGGAGGGGAGATCAGCTTCACTGATTAAAAAGATATGTTGCAACCCTTTTGATTTTATTTTCATTTAATTTATGACAGGCTCACTGCATGGGGCTGCTTAGGGCTTGGGCCTTTGCAGAACCATGTCATAATCAGGTAAGTAAAACAGTAAAGTCCACATACATCATGTGGAAAAATATTTCAAACCAAGCTTGCACTCCTTTCATTTCTACTTTTTTAAAAACAATTTTGTCTTAAATTATGGTAATAGAGACAACTGGACTGAGATTACTGAAGAGTCACATTTTTGTCACTGTTGCTGTCTGGACAGCAGCAATGTTGAAACTACCAAGGGAGGGTGCCAGCTCCGGCATTTTTAACAATGCCTTGCTGTTAGAGCCATTTAATTCCCCCGTTTATAGGAGATTCCAGGGATCAGACAGTAACACCTCACTTGACCTGAAATCAAACTTGCCTGCTTTTGCCTTTCTCAGGTATCAAATCCAGTTCCTTTCCTTCATTTAATTTAATGATCAGACCAGAGAAATCTGTTCTGGTTGTTTATGCCATAAGAAAAACAAAGGAAAACAATTATTGATTTTTTCCCATAGAAATAACAATGAAATCTAATGGTTTCAATGAGATCAAAAGAGTTCAACTGACAGAGAGCAGGTTTAGATTGGGTATGAGGAAGAAATTCTTCCCTGTGAGGGTGGTGAGGCCCTGGCACAGGCTGCCCAGAGAAGCTGTGGCAGGAAAGACTGGGTGGGGCTTGGAACAACCTGGGACAGTGGAAGGTGTCCCTGCCCATGGCAGGTGGTGGGGACAGGATGAGCTTAAGGTCCTTTCTAACCCAAAACAGTCTGTGATACTGTAATTACTTTTGTGAGGCTATAAACACCACTCTTCCAACTGCATTAGAAGAAAACCTTTGAAAAAAGTACAGAGAACACTGCTAATGAATGCCTGTCCTAGGAAAGCATGGAAACATCTCTGCAGCTGGGCTCCTGGTTAACCACCTCACAAAAAATGATCTTCTGTAGGTGGTAAATGCAGAGTCAGAACTGCAGCTGCCAAAGGCACCGAGTTCAGGGTAACTTTCAGAAATCTGTCATTACTCACTTTTCCCTCAACAAGGAGTTCCAGATTTGTGTGTTTCAAATCAGGTCAGCCAGCTGCCAAGCACTGTAATAAGCAAGCTGCTAATGCAAGTCATACACAGCAGTAGTGTCTAAACGCAGACTTAGCATCCAGCTCACCTTCTGTTTACTCTGTAAAGACTTACAGCTTAATACAAAAGGTAAATTGTTTTACCAGGATCTTTTAAGAATCCAGCACTACACAAGAAGATAATTCTTGAGTTTCACACATCTCAAGGCATGTTGAACACTTGGTCCTGTGCTTTATTTGTAGTTTAAGCTACAGATATACAGACAGAAGCTAAAACTAACCAGGTTTAAAGGAAACAAAAACAAGAAGAATATAATTAGGTGGAACCTTGATTAAGAAAAAGGTCAATATATTTAATAAATTTCTGAAACACAGCAGCCAGGTCCCATGAGTGACACAGGCTGCTGTCCTGCATCTTGATTACTCATATTTGTGCCCAAAGAAAGGTCTCAGTACAATAGACAAAAAATTTCATAAATAATCTAATCTGTTCTGAAAGTCTACTTCTATGTATATAAATACATCCTTTAGAAGCTTCATTATTGTGTCTTTTTACCTTTTTCATTGCTTGCTTTTCATAATAGACCCTGATCCTGCAAAAAAGGGTGACTCCTACTCTGTGTTCCAGTAAATTCTGTAATAAAACCAGTCACTGCTAAAGACTATCCACTGGTGAGGATTTATCTTGTTGTGAGTCAGCCATTTTCCACAAAGGAAAGGAAATATTGAATCTAAAAGTGAAAAATCAAAGGGTTATTTAAAAAAGAAACCTCTCCAACAGACTGTAATTATTACTGATATTCTTGCATGGATAACAGAATTATCTTCCTTTTCTATATAGACTCTCCAGCTCTTCAGGATAGGAGGCATATGGCTGTACTCCCTGCCTTCCCACCCCTTTGCTTTTCTGTGAGCCAGGTATGATAGAGAAAAGAGGCTGCCAATAGTTTTAAATTGCTGTGCGCTGAGAAACATTACAGCTGATTGAGAGACAAGCTCCACATCAGAGTCCCACTACAGAAGAAAATACAGAACTCAGCAGTAAGTAGGAACACAAAAAGCACCAGCAATATGCTGTCTCTTGCCCAGCCAGTATTTGAGGGGACTTAGAGAGGAAACAGGGACAGAAATTAGACAGTGAAGGAGGAGAGAATTCAAAGTGAGGAAGAAATCTGGTTGCTACTGTGTAGGGCTGAGGTGGTAGAAGAGCTACAGAAGGTAACAGTGGGTGTTTAGATTTATAGAACTCTAAGCCAAGCTTTGCCAGTTCTGCTAATCCTAAAACTTAGTTTTAATGTTTTACAGCTAATGATAATTAAAAGTGGGGATCTGGTATCACTACTGCACCAGCATCTCTGAAGGTAGAGTTTCTAAGCAAGAGCTTCTAGTTGTGTAGTCTCATCTTTTATTAATACTTGTACAACTGCAGTGAGCTGGATCCAGGAAGCAAATTGTCCAAAAGGAGGAGTGAAAATAAAACCTTCAAGTGATTCAGCTGGCTGAGATGTTTTTAATTGGTCTAGCTCCTTAATTTGGGTCACCATGTAGATAGAAGTGCCATGTAGAGTGGCACAAGAAGCCTGTGAGTGAGAAAAAACATCCCATTTGGCCTAAATCAGCATGAAACACACCCTTTGCAAAAATCCAAGGATATAAAACCAGCCCAAATGTTTCCATTTACTTACTTCTGACATTTCATGCACCAGCAGGAGGGGAATGCTGATGGTGGTGATGTCGTGTGTGCAGCACACCTTGAGGATGTTCCTGAGCCCCATGATGGCTGGGTCCCTGGCGGTCACATTCACAGACCTGACATTGTCATCCACACACAGGTGAAAGGCAACATGGATTTCTGAGAGGTTTGAGTGCCTTGTGATGTAGAACTCTCCTGCACAATAAGGCAAACCAGGAAGGTAAGAAATCATAGTAGTGATCTGTATCTGAAATCCAATTGTTTGGAAGTGTAAGAAAGAGGCATATACAAATATATAGCAGAGATGAGGATATACACACGAGATCTAAAATCTCTTGCACTGTCACTGTTTTACATCCATCCCACACTCTCTCCACTGCTTTGATGGGTTCCACTGGCATCATGGTCACATGGTGTAATAAACCATAACAGTGCCAGTACAGGATATGATCTCTATATAGCACAAAACAGAAAAACAAACCCAGAGGAGGTGCAATACTCAAAATACACAATGCAAGCACAGAATTGCAGACGGATGTGGGAGGCGGAAAGGACAAAAAAGGATGGGTTCAAATAAAGGATGCACAGAGCCTTTGGAAAAAGATAGTGGGTTATGTAACAACTGAGATATAGCACTAGAACACAAAAGGATCAGTGACCATTAGAATTTAAAATAATTCAGAGTAGTGGGAAGGTGATTTATAGAGTTGTTTGAAAAAAGTAACCAAGACATCTTGTTTGGGGTATTTTTAGACTTCGTATTCATTTATCAGAGGTGAGAGGCAGTGAAATCCAGGTCTCTCCATCGTTCCTTTGCAAGGGAGATCTATAAACTACAGTACAGTCAAGGGAAAAGCACCATGTGCAATGCCCCCACTTGTTCAGTCAACAAATAAACATCTTCCTTCAAACCTATTCCCACTAGCCACTGAAGTTAAGATCCTTTCTTTGAATTGGAACAGCTGCAGAGGGGTCTGAACTCCTGGATGAGTGTTAAGGCAGCAGCAATGCCCAGCAGTGACCATCTATTAGCAGTAACAGGCCACTGCTGCAAGACACACCTGGATTTAACTGGTCCAAGTTGGTTTAAATCCACTCCCACTAAAAGTATTTAACACAATAATGAAATCAATTTTAATAAGCCCTCTCTCCATGGGTTGTATGGACTTAATTCCTCCCTCCTCCTACTGCATATTCATCCTCAGATTCCACAGCAGCTTTCCTTACTAAACATCACAGTACACACAGAAGATCCTTTCCCTGAGAGAGTGAATCCTCTAAGTTAAAAAAATCCACTCAAAAATGCTTTTCTGTACCACAGCAGTGATATACATATAGCCATTTTCAAAAATAAAATTAGCTGCTAGTATTGAAGTTTCACTTTTCCCCCAAGATGCTCAAAGTTCTTTTTTTTTTCACCCTCAAATTCCAAAAGGAAATTTTAGGCAAAGAGAAGCAATTTGCCCCATACCATATTATGCAGTGGAAAAGCTGGGAATAGAAACCAGATGTCCTGATACCCAGTTCTCTGCCTTGGCCACAGGAACATCCTTCTCTGATTGAGGTCAGCTTGGGTTCGGTTTATAATTTATGTTCTGACTTCAGAGCTAAAAATGTGGATGTATAAAACACAATTTGCTTCAGGAAGAGGGGATCAATGCCATACAACTTACCCGGCAAAATGTTTGACTGGTTTCGTTCTATATTCTTTAATTTATCTTCATTCCCACTGATTTTGTTTTCTGTGCATGAACACATGGAACAAATATTAATCATATCCTCTATTAATTACACTTGGCCATGAAAAGGGTCATGTACTGATATCTGGCTTAAATTTTGGCTGTGAAGCTACCATAAATGCAAGGGGGATGGGTAGAAGTGGTTTTGCCATCTTCAGCACACCCCAAACTGAATCCTACCTCAAATCACTGCCCTTCTTACTTACCATCCCATGATATTTCTTCATTTGGAAAAAAGAAAATATTCTTAGACATAATGTGAAACTTTGCAAATTGCTCCCACAACCACATAATATCTTGCTATTACTCTTTTAATAATGTAATATATTAAAACATATTTTCCCAAGAGATTTACATAAATCAGCAGCATAAAAGCAGCTTTCACCATTTCCCTTGAGATGCAGCAATACACAGGTTCTCAAGGGAACTTGTTTTTCTGGGTACTCACATTTGTTCATGTTCCTGATGCATTTAAATCACATAAGTAGCTCTTTGGAGGGAAAACAAAGCTACATAATGTACAATTGCCCTGCCTTAACACCATGTGGTCAGAGCATTTCCCAGACATTTGCAAACACAAGCGTAAGGCAAACCATTCCTCAAGCTTTGGTCAGCACAAGAAAGCTCGATATACATCTAGTCAATTTATTTGGTTTTCAGCATTCACTTTAAAGGAAGGGGGAATAGTCGTAAACTCCTTTTCTGCAATTTTTAAGGATTTAAATGTAAATGGCAATTAAAAGGTAAAGACAGATGAAGTTTGTGCTGCTATAGGCAGTTTAGGAAAGCAGAATGGCCTGATGTACTTCCCATGCTGTTAAACTGTGACTTTTAATTTTAAAGAATCAGCAAAGATACCACCTAAACATCACAATCTCTGTGAATTTCACACAGTTTCTTGATGAATCCAAACATTCCATTGTCCAGATTAAATAACTGCAGAAGAGTGGCATCGACTCTGCCCTGCCCACAAACATCCCACTGACCACTGTTCTATTTCAAGGAGGGTAATTTTGGTTGTCACTGACCATAGTGTCTTTTTGTATTGCTGCTACGCTGTGCTCTGGCCTTAAGTACAACCTTCTGGACAATTTCAAGTTGTTCTTGAATTCCAGGAAAATGGAAATCCGTGCATTCTTGGCAAACAGTTGCGAAATCTAGGAAAAAAATAAGATTGAAATGTATGTCATGAGGTTGTGCTCAGTAACCTTATGTAATTCTACTCTACTGATCAAGTAAATCCAACTGTAAAGGCAAACTCCAAAAGCAGATAAAGCCCTACTGAACTGAACTCCTCTTCCAAAATTTATTGAGGATTACATTTGACAGATTGTGACATGGTCCCATACTTTTCCCTCTACTGTGGCTGCAGGATCTAGTTGGTGCCTACAAGGTGCAATTTTGTGTTTTAATAGCATTATTTAAATTTCTGTCTTCTCTCATTGCCTAAAATTTAGGATAAAACCAGATACTTTCTGCTTGTTATTAATTTAAATATTTGAACAATTAAAAAAGCACTTGCAAAATAAGTACAAGTACAAAATAACACCGTTACAATCAAACTACTTGGAAACCATCAACAGCAATCAACAAATGCAACTGCAGTTTTTCCTGGTACATTTCCCTCTCCTTCTTGCTACAAGCCTGATTCAAACTGTTTCCAGGCAATATCAAGTACCACTGTGCATTTTTTATGGCATGCAAGAATAATGACAAGTAACAGTCAAAAAAAGACATTCCAAGCATATCTGTTGCAGCATATGTCACAGTTGAGACAGCCACGATACAGAGTATCACCACACAATTTTTGAGGCTTGAAGCATCAGCCCATACAGTGTAACACCAGATCACTTCATAAGGCTTCAAGCATCCAACCTTCTTGTTCTTTAGCCCAACCTTTTATACCCCTCATGTTCATGCACTGCACCTGTGTGTCCTCTGTTCCCTTTGGTGGTTGGTCAGTGCACCTGGGCACTCCATGGCTCCTTACCGTCAATATCATTCACCTGTCCTGCACAGCTGGACCCACTGGGGATGAGGCTCAGCCCCAACTCCAGCCCCATTCCCAATCACCACAAACTGTGTACCTGAAAGTATTTTGGTACTAAACTTCAGGACAGAAGTGGGAAAGTCAAGCAGAAGTTTCTTTGATAGAAAACACCATCACAGTGCCCACCTCCTCAAAAGACATGCACTTAAAGTGGCTATCAAACTCTCCAGGAGTAGGCAAGTCATATTCCTATTGTTCACTTTTAATGGAATTCACAGTATCAAAAGGACATAGTTTTTTTATCCATTTACCTATCACTTTAAAATCTGGGCATATTTCTTTTTAATTTTTGCAAACAGGTTTCAGTGTGATAATCTGGTGTTAAAGAGTTAGAAACACCTATAATAAATTTGTCTAAATCAATATTGAAGGGTCCTCTTCAATATTGTTTGTTACTCAGACACAAAATGTAGGGAAGAGATGAGAGCAAACATGATCCCCCATCCTCATCCATACCTCTTCTTGCATTTGTTACCCTTTTGCAATACCATATGCAAAACATGAGTGCCTCCACTGAATTTTAATTTTACAAAGAATATTTTTCTGTGAGAGAAGACAGCAAGATTTTATTTTAATTTATTATTTTATTCATTTTCCCTGACATGATACCTCCCACTAGAAGGCTCACCTCTTTTGATTCCACTGTATGAGCTGATCCTGTTATCCACCAGTAGCACGAGGCCACAGAGGGAAGTTGAGTAGAGGGACATTGCAGTCTGCAGCCTATGCAGCTTCACCCCACTGCGGTGATTGCGTTTATGTTTGCAGAAATCCAGCATATCAGCTCTCAGCAGCCTCAGGTTGTGCATGGTCTTCAGCTGAGCTCCTGCACAGAGCACACATGGCTTAATCCCAGGGGAAGACTAAACTCAGGACTGCGATTGAAATGCGAGGGCACAAAATGCTTCCTCATAAAGATCTGAAAGGGAGCTGTAACCAGTAACACCCAGAGGAAGTTCTTAGCCACACATGCAGTTTTAAAGACACATCAGCAATCTGCAAAGTAGCAATAAAAACTCAGTGTTTTCACAGAGTGAGGCGTATCTATGTCTGAAATGAGCCTTGTTCCCATTGCAGAATCACAATTATTAAGCTTGGAAAAAACTTCCAAAAATGAAGTGCAACCTGTGCCCAATCTTTACCTTATCACCAGCCCAGACCACCAAGTGCCACATCCAGGCATTCCTTGGACACTGCCAGGGATGGGGACTCCAAACCTCCCTGGGCAGCCCTTGCCAACCCTTTCTGTGAAGCAATTCTTCCTGAGGAATACTGCAGTGTGGTGGTGTATCCCTCCCCATCCTCCCCAGAACCACTCCATAAGCTCAGCAACTCCTGTAGGCCCTTAGCATTTGTGCAATGAGCTGGGTGCTGAGGCATCCCTTGGTCATCCCAGGAACTGCTGCATGGCTGAAGTGGGAGCTGCACAAAGGGAAAGGGATCATCAGTCAGCCCCTGCCAGCCTGGAAACATCCCCTACCTAGCCTGAGGGGAACAGCACCATTGCTGCCAGCAATTCAACCTGAGGATGAACATTTTCCAAATGACTCAAGGCAATCATCTTATGACCCTATGGACAGGGGTCCTAAGGGATGTTCTTGGAGCTTTCTTGCACCACAGGAGGCTGCACCAGCATCTCCCTCTGGCAGAGATGCCTCTCAGAGCTTGCAAATTCCCAAGTTGGTGATACTGTGAGGACTGTTGCTGCCTATCTCCACCTAAATAATTTTAGATTTGGTTATAATCCAATTTTCCTCTGTATTTCATCTATATAGTAAGAGAGTGAACCTTGCCTTTGAACTCAGTCACTCTTTTGCAAATTTATATCAAATCTGCTTTGGCTGGTGATCTTTTAAGTGACCTAAACTACTCCAGCACAACTTAACCTGGTCAAAACAGCTCAAGAAGACTCTACTGCACAAACAAAAATACAAACTGCAAGTATCTATTCTGCTGTCAACAGATCATCAGAAGTGACTTTTGTAAACACGTTTTTCTACCAAACATAAGAAAAGTCAAAGCTTCATTTTTAGGCAACACATTTTGCTGTTGCTGTGCTTTTTCACGAGTCACCCAACCAAAACGGATGAAAATTTGCTTCCAGAATGTTTTTCATTAAGATTTCCACCTATTTCAGGCATTGCTTGATAAAGTTTACGCTGTTCACTTACACACGTGAAAAAAACACAAAACAACTCCATACTATGGATTACAGACATTGAGAGATAAATAATGTAAATAATACACACCTTGGATACATTATTTTTTAACCAGCTGTTATTTGGTTTACTCCACTTACCTAAATGAATAGTAAAGCTTTCTTCTAACAACCTTTGCTCTTCATAGATTCTCCCATTTCCTTCTACAGATTCCCTCAGCTGGCTGGGCTGAACTTTAATTTCATCACTAAAATAATAAGAAAAGTATCAAAAAGTTAATCCTAATTTTTATTCAACACCAACAAATTTGGGAAAGCTATCCCAAGCTTTCTCAGCTGGTCTGTAGAAACCAAGAGAGCAAGCCTATGAGCACGAGCTCCACTCATGAGGTTTCACCTTGACCTTCCTGGCAGCAGGAAGAGGAGACTCCACTGTTAGATTTACATTACTTGGCACATTTGTAAAGTATTCCAAGACTGAGAAATAAAAATAAGTCACAATATCTAGCTATAACATAGTAAGAATGTAGGAATAAAAGCAAAACCAAAAGAATTCTCCTCAGCCTATTTACAGCAGCCAAAACCTTATTTATGAAGTTATTAGAGAAAGCATTTATTTTCTTTTTCCCACTCAAAATGGGAGATTAAAAATCACTTTATCAAATATTCCAGAGTGTTCAAACTACCAGGAAACATTTCAGATATAAGTTTTAATATTTTCCCTAAATTCAACTGTCTGGTAGTGATACAATGAATACCGTTCCTGATACATGAAAGAACAGCATCCAATTTGTTGGTGAGAAGTTTGTTTGTGAGTTGTTAGTGAGAAGTTTCTGTTTTCAAAGTGCCTCACCTCCAAAAATCTCTTATAAACTTGCAAGCAATTCTACTGATTTCAACTGCCAAGCAGCAATGTACTAGTGATAAAGAATAATGATCCCACCCAATTTACAAACTCAAATTTCTGCCATTTCCTCAGAGGAAAGCTTCTCATTCAACTCTCCTAAAAAATTCATGCTAAAAAATTCCATTTTTTAGTTGTTCAGTTACATACATAAAGAGAAAAGAGGTTTGTTAATTCAAACCACTGTTACCATTTGTTAAAGTACCATTATTCTCCAGAACATTCTTAGGTGGTAACAGAAGGCTTTGTGAAACATTGTTAAAGACAGACATAGGAGAGAAAGACAAAATTAGAGGAAATTCCACTCATGTCAAACTGTACTTTAGTCCATTATAACACTTTCTTGTACAGAGAGGTTGTAACATCACACAATGAAGAAACTCCTAACATTATACATATTTCTTTATGATGGCCTATTTGCCTTTGATATGCTTTGATAAACCTAAGCAAATTATTTATAGATAATATAACATCATAATAAATAGGACTATTATAACATCATAATAAATAGGACTATAGTATCCTATTTAAAAGATTATGTAAAAACAATCCTTTGAACTATTTCAGCTGGAATTAAGTATCACAGAGGAATTAAATACCTGACTGAGCTGTTGTTGGGATTCTTTAGGTCCTGATGAAGCTTTATCACCCACTCCTGATATTCCTGCTTCTGGATAGCAGTAGTCTGTTTTAATTCATTGGTCCATTTGTTCTCCAAATCCTGACAGGAGAGCAGTGATAATTTGAGTGGTGTGGGTGTTCTTTTTAAGGTGATTATGTGCATGACACATTCTAGTTACCTGCTGAGATTCAAAATGCTGAGCTGCTAAGGAATTCACATCCTGGTCAGTCAGTGACTTTCCAAGCTCCTGCATCACCTTATCCATTTCAGCTCCTTGCCTGAAAGAGAAGCAAACACAGACTCCAGAACACTGGCAGAAGAACACCCTTTGCTGTAATACAACAACAAACTTGGTTGGTTGTTACTGACAGAATGAACAGTCACAGATTTAGCAACGAAAATCCACAAAACAAACTGGCGTTAATGGTCAGGGACACAAGTCAGGTCCTGTGTAAACAGCCCCACTTACCCTCTCATTTGGGACAGTCTTAGCTGCCACCAAGATAGGGATGTGATAAATTCCAACTGGGGTGCAATTTCCAGCAGAGTCAATACACAGCTACATCACACCTGAGTTCTACAACAATACTGCTCTTTCTGCTGTATGCACAGTTGAAAAGAGGCAAGAACAGCAAAAAGATTTGCTAACACCTTACTGGCAACATTGACCCCCAAATCAGAAATATGTACAATTCAGTCCAGAAGAAACCATAGCATGAACTGATTATGCACTAACATGACCTTAGACATACAAAGCTCAAGAATCACTCAGAATGCTAAACCAGACCTACTGAAACTACTCTGGCACAAACAGAAAATTCCACACTCAACGTGTTCCCTCTTGTGGACAAAGGAGTCAGCTGCAGCCATGGAAGCTTATTCCAGAACTCCAGACTCAAACTTGTTACAGCACATGTCACAGTTGAGACAGCCACACTACAGAGTGCCACCATTCAATCTCAGAAAGGTCCAACCAAACAGAGTCACAACACTTCAGAAAACTACAAGCATGTGCTCATCTTGCCCTTTGCTGGAGCTCACTCCTAGGTTGCGGGTGGCTCCGTGTGGTGGAAAAATCTCTCCTCCAACCTGTGCTTCCAAAGAAAGGCTCAGTAGTCTCTTGTTGTTCGGTGTCATGGTTGTTTATTGCAAATTATCTAAAAGATTGTCTTCTTGGGCTGCTGCAGTTTGCTCAGCAGCTCAGGCAGAGGCACACACACCGCTGACATCCTCTCTGTCTCTCGTCTTCTTCTCTCTCCCTGCCCAGGGCTGGTGCTATCTCTTATATGGTACATTATGTGTTAAATGTTTACAGTTTTTCTCCAATTCCTATTACCTATATTAAATGGTGCTTTTCTACTCTAAACCAATCTGTGAGTGCCAACAACACCAAGAACATGGAGGTAAAGAAGGAGGGAGGACAGGACAGGCCCAAATCCCTCCAATCTTAAAACTTCCAACCCCCATGTACAAAACCAAAAGCCCCCTGTGCAAGACTTAAAACCCCCCTGTACAGCACTCAAAAATACTTCCCTTTACTTTGTGACTACTTCTACTATAATATCTAAACTTTTGTGACTTCTTGTTCTTCCTGAAAGAATTGGTAAATCATTCCATGGTTCAAACTCAAAATCACAGCTGTTTCCAGCTACCTGCCAGTGTCTCAAATGCTTCTGACCTGGGCCTGGAACCTCCAAAAATGTCTGAGGGACATTTTGAGTTCTGAAAGTCCTTCAGCCCAACCTTTTGTACCCCTCACCTTATATGCACTGCACCTGTGAGCCCTCTGTTCCCTTTGGTGGTTGGTCAGTGCACCTGGGCACTCCATGGCTCCTTACCTTCAATATCATTCACCTGACCTGCACAGCTGGACCCACTGGGGATGAGGCTCAGTCCCAGCCCCACTCCCAGTTACCACAAACTGTGTGCCTACACAAACTCAACATTTTCTGGAAATCAAAACTTATATTCTCCTCAGTCACTGAAAATAATAGAAGGCCACCAAAGTAATATCAGGTAGCTGAACCTAATGACATCATAGAATCATGGAATGGTTTGGGCTGGAAAGGACATGAATGTTCATTTCATTCTAACCCCTGCCATGGGCAGGGCCACCTTCCACTTGACCAGGTTGCTCAGAGCCCCATCCAACCTGGCCTTGGGTTGGATACCTCATACTTCAAGGGATGAGGCAGCCACAGCTTCTCTGGGCAACCTCTGCCAGGGCCTCACCACACTCTGAGTGAAGAATTTTTTCCAAGTAGCCAATCTAAATTTTCACTCTTTCAGTTTGAAGCCATTCCCCCTTGCCCAATCTCTAAATACTCTTGTGCCAGCCAAGTGTTGTCTGACTTTGGATTTACAGAGACAAATACAAGCTACTCACCTTGTCCTATGAGTTTACACACCCAGTGGCATGCACCCCTACTTAAAAAGAGAAAGGAAAACCTAAATAATAAAAGAAAAGTAATACCTTTCACGTAGCTTTTTCAATTCCACGTCCCTTTCACTTATTAATTCTGAAATACTAACAAAATAATTGTGTTCCAGGTTTAACAGCATTTCAGAAGCTGGAGAATGGATCAGATCATGATAAACATCTGCAAAATCTTCATCCCAGCTGGTTTCTTCAGGTTTGGCATGTTCTAATGTTGTCTAAAGAAAACATAAGAGACTTTAAAGGATAAGATACCTCTTAGGACATATAAAGATCCTCATAATCATGGGGTAAAACCATGGGGGCCCACACACAGCCTGTACCATACATAAATTATCTTCCCTAATTTAAGCTTTCTGCATTCTACTTTAGTTTTCAATTTTCTCCTTTTTCATTCTTTCTCTTCCAAAGTAACTAAAGTCAGAATCATTAAGGTTTGGACTACAGTAAGGAATTACCAATTTTTACACAACACCAGCTCGGAAAGAACAGCAATATCCACAATAATATTTGCACCTGATGAATTTTAGTTAAGGCCCAGAACACCAGCTGTGCAAACAAAAATGCTTTTCTAGTAAGGATGACTAACAGCTGATGTCACTAAGAGATCCATCAACAACACTGATTTAAGAAAAGCTATTTTTATTGAACAAAGAAAAGCCCAAGAACACCAGTTTTCCAAACTTTTAATGGAATTTTTCATATTAATATATATTTCATGAGAAGCAAATTCAATTCTTATAAACTTTTCTTCAAATATTGAAGGTTTGTCATTAGTTTTTTCTTTCCACTAGGACTCCTCCAGTTCTTTTGCACTCCACTATTTGTGAGATCCCATGTGAAACTGGACATTGTTCCAACTTAAGCCTCATCCTTCCTAAATAATGTGAAACAGTAATATGAACCCAAAAAATGAACTGAAAAGTCTCCCAACTATACACTTTCTCCTTCTAGCCTTAATTGCTGTTATTGAGATTTAGGATAAGAGTGTCACTTAATTACATCTTGCTTTAATTCTAAGCCACTATAAGCCTTATGTCTATTTTTTGAGTGTCAACTGTTAAATGAACAAACTGTTTGCCTCTCCATTTTCTATTTTTTTACTCTATTAAATTCAAGAAAAACCTGACTAAGAACTTGTAGGATGAAGACTTGATGCTCACTTTCAGACAAAAAGAAAAAACTGCAAGAATTGCAGTGAATTTTAGTGTCATGTTTCATCCTTCTCAACTGTGATTGCACACACACACACACTCCTACAAAGCAAGCTTTGAATATGAACTTTCCAGCCTTAACCTTACCTCTTTATAAGCTTTAGCCCAAGTATCTGCCAGCTGGTTGATATCTACTTTTCCCGATTTCACTGCTTCCAGAGCCACTTCAGCTTCTCTGTCATAATCTTCTATAGTTTCCTCTTCTACAAATTTACTGAGAGATTGCTTCAGGTCTATGACAAGAAGAAGAAAATGATCCATCAACAGAACACATCAGTAATCACCCAGGAAATCTCTAAGTAAGGTTTTTCACCTGAAAACATTTTCCTTGCTAGCACTTGCTAGAGCAGACAGTAATTTTCTCTAAGTTTTGCTGTTTAAAAACCAATTTGTAAATACTGTTTCAGTAAAACACTGTTCTTTTGGTTTCTTAGAGCAAGCTGTGAGATACTTGTGGACAAGGATACATGAGATTAATTTAAGAAATCAATTCATACCATTTTCTATAAAGCATGGCAAGTTGTGCAGAACCATCAGACGTCCATGCAAATGACTGATATTCTCTTGTACAGGGAATTTGAGAGGCACGGTAAGCACCAAATGTTCATTTCCAGCACTGAATTTGTACACATAGTCTCTTTCTCTAGTTAAAGTCTTTCCTTTATTAGGCTTCATCCTTTTGTTTCCTGCAATAGAAATGAAAGTAACAGGAATTACATTTCTGTAAACTCAGAAGTAAAAAATGGTAATGAAAAGCCATGGCTTTGCTAATAATTAACAATACTTAACCCCCCCAAATTTTCACAGATACTCAGTTTTGACTTCCAAACACATGCCTCTGGAACTGAAGCATAAATACCAGTTTCCAAAATATCCAATGCTTCTAAAATGTATTTGAATGTGTCAATATATAAATTTGGGTAATTGCTCTTAAAAATTACAGTGAAAATCTCCTGACTTAAGAGCAGGAGCAGGGCAAATAGGAATCCTGATAAACAGAAAATTAACTGAAACACCCTGACTTGTGTCATGGAAGCCTCAAAAGCTGAAATTCTGCAGAGTGCATAGAGATTTTATTTCCTCTTTTCTGCAGGTGCAAGGCCTGGGGAGTGGGGGGAAGCAGATATTTGCAACAATTTTTAGAAAGAGCTGATTTTATCTTTCTGTAACCTGTATTAAAAATAAGCCAAAAGAGATGCAAAAGTGCAGAGTGAGAGTACAGGCTGTGAAAAACGCCAATCACTTGTTTTGAAATTTTAAAGGTTGAATAGTAATAAAATAGCTATAAAAATATTAATGAAAGTTAGAGCAACAAGAATTTGGACAATCAGAGTTAGGACAATAAAGGACAATAAAAAGCAAAGAATTACTGATGTCCAGGTGTCTGCCACTCTGCCGCAGAAAAACACCTTGCTAACAAAGAATTACCCCTTAAAAGCAATAGCCAGTTGCATATTCGTATATCTCATACATGATGCAAACATTCTTTTCAAACAAAGGATGTCCTCTGTTTAATTTCTGCCCCCTCCCCCATCATCTTGTAAATGAATTTCTTTGGCTCCTCTAAGTCTAGAAGAAGTCTGAATAGTCTGGATAGGAAGGCAATAATTCTTGAGTTTTGGTGTCTTGTTGCTGTTGTCTGTATGCGAAGAATTTCTTGGTTATCCATTTCTTGAGCTATTATAAAAATATCTTACATCACATAGTTTCTATTTTAATATTATGTTATAGCCTAAAAACTATATTTACCACACTACTTAAAAGAGATTAATACAGCATAACTTTCCAATGTAACACATATAGCATTCATCTTAATATTTGCGAAAAGCCAATCATATAATATGCACCTACAACACAGGCTGAGATAACTGTGCTGGTATTTTTGCCCTCCACAGGGCTCCTCTGCTCATTCACATCCCTCTGTTTCATCACCTGCAAAGCTGGCTACAGCTTCAGCCGAACCCTCCCCAGTGCTAAAAACTCACGCCCCGAGGAGAAGGAAAAACACTGAAAATAAAACATGATATAGCAGAATTCACCGGTTTAGGGTGTGGGGGTTTTTTGGTGGTTTTTTTTTTTTTTTTTTTTGGGGGGGGGGGTTGGGTTGGGTTTTTGTTTTGGGGGTGGGAGGGGTGGGTTTTTCTGTGAACAAACGTATGTGTTCGACACAAAGCAACAAGTCAGTGTCAAAACCAAACATCTCAGCACAAACAATATCGATGCGAGGCGGTGCCCCGGCCCCTGTGAAGTGGGATTCAAAGGAAGATCTGGGAAACACAAACCCGACCACGCTCTTTCTGCCGCTCTCCGATCCAGCGAGGAGGTGGGGAGGAAGCTGATGGAGAGGGAGCGGGGGACAAACCCGCGGTCCCAAACAGCATCAGAAATCGCAGGCTCAGAGCCGGCAGGACACGGCCTGCGGGAGCCCAGCCGCCCCTCCCCGCCGCAGGGAGCTCCCGGTGTCCGCGTTGCCCCCGCTGGAAGCACCGGCAGGCGGCCGGCGGTGCCCGGCCCGTCCCGGCTCCCCCGGCTCGCCGCGGGGCCGAAGCCGCGGTGTTCCGCCCACCGCTCTGCCGGCGCAGCCGCGCGTTCGCCGCGGCACATTCGCCACTGCGCTGCGGGCAGCGCGCCCGGCGGCGGGGATGGCGCGGCCGGCCCGGAGGTGCGTGCGCTGGGGCTGGGGGACCAGGGGCTCCCCGCTCCCCTCAGGTCTCTGCGGGATTCCAGGGTGGCCCTTCCCTTCCCCTTCCAGCGGAGCGGTCGTGATCAGTAGCGCAGGGCCGTGTTGGAGGCCTGGCATTCTTAGTGGTATCCCCCGGCGTTCTGTTGTAGAATGGTTTGGGTTGGAAGGGCCTTAAAAACCGTCCAGGTCTAACCCCCTGCCATGGGCTGGGACACCCTGCGCTATTCAAGGTTGCTCCAAGCCTCATCCGGCTTGGCCTTGGAGGCTGCCAGGGATGGGGTAGCCGTGGCTTGTCTGGGCACCCTGTGCCAGGGCCTCAGCATCCTTACAGGGACAATTTCTTCCTAATACCCAATCTAACCCTGCTCTCTGTCAGTGTGAAGCCATTCCCTTGTCCTGTCACCCCAGGCCCTTGTCAAGAGTCTCTCCATCTTCCTGTGGGTTCCCTTCAGGCACTGCAAGGCCACAGTGAGGTCACCCCAAAGCCTTCTCCTCTCCAGGCTGAACAATCCCAGTTCCCTCAGCCTTTCCTCCCAGCAGAGCTG